TTACCCCTAGTTCGAGTATTCTGCGTGTTTTAAGTCATTTAACTCTCAGATGTCAGCTGGGTAGCAATGATAGAAATTGAATGGGAAACCCAGCCAGTCTTGGCTGCAAAGCCCACATGCTTAATTGACTGTTTAAATAATAGTACTAGCTTGCATCTTGGTTGGAAAATGTGTCATTTTCATGGCTCAATTTATTTTGGTATTGGGGTACTCTTGATCATCTCACAGGAGTTAGAGAGTGTTTATAATGTGAAAATCTTCTCACTACGTTTCACCTCTTTTTCATAGGCTTGGCACAGTAGAGAAACCTCATCTCTCTCCCTTGATTTTTATCAGATTTTAATAATTTTATGTAATGCATTTTTTCTAAGATCAGTTTTATCTTTCTTAAGGTCCAAAGTTCTCCTGTTTAGCAATATATATTCCATTATTTAACATTTATTTAACAGATATTAGCATGGGGATTTATTCTTTTGATCATCACCAGATTGATAAACTTACCTTTTCTTCAGTGGGGGGGGTGTTGAATCATTTTATTGGGGGCTCTTACTACTCTTGTTAACAATCCATGCATTAATTGTATCTGACATATTAGTACATGTATTCTATCGTTCTTTTCTAGACATTTACTTTCCATTGAGCCTTTGGGATCCGCTCCTCTTTTTTTCCCTCCCTCCTTCCCCGCACCCCCAACCCTTGTGGCCCCTGGATTGTAGATTGTTAATTATTTTTAAATCTCACACCAACTGCTGTCTCCCTTCGCCTCTGGATTCTGTTGTTCTTCCCCCTGACTGGGGATATATGGTTATGTGCCATTCATTGCGATTGGTGCCCCACTCCCTCCCCACCTTTTCCCCGCTTCCCCCTACACTTTTGGTATCTCTATTCCCATACCTGTTACTGGGCTCCATGTATTGTGAGTTTTATCTCTTGCTTATATCTATATACATTCTCTCGTCTAGTTTAGATTGGGAAGCGGCACTGGGGTCATGATAGTGGGGGGTGAAGAGGCCTCGAGGGATCAGAAGTATATCTTATTAAAATATTAGTGGTTCCAAAGTATTTATTTAGTTAGACAAGAATTTAGAGTTGTAACAAACTTGCTTATATCTGTCATGGAATGCAAGGCTGTCCTACTGATAACTTCTGCATAATTTTATCTGTCCTCCTTTATTGTAGTCAGCTTATTTCAGTGGGTTCTAACTAGTCTTATTGATAACAATTGTATTCACCCCAAATTTGGTCAGCTCTGCTTGTATGTAAATGTCTTAATTTTGGAAGATTCAGGTTGCATCAATGTTTAACTGCTTTTGAATTTGTGGTAGTTTATTGCTAGTGTTAGAATTATTTTTCAGTTCAGAATAAGTAATGTTTCTTTTCTAATCCCAGTACACTTGTAGTTGGTCAAAAGTTTCAAAGGTTATAGCTGACTATAAAGAGTAACTCTTTAACTTAATTGTCCTTTATTAGTCGGCCACATTGTAAATGGATTAATTAAGCATTTACTGATGTTGTATACTTTGGTTACCAAGTTTTTGTTTGTTTGTTTTTTAATCATTTTATTGAGGGCTCATACAACTCGTCATAATCTATCCAGCCGTCATCCATTGTGTAAAGCACATTTGTACATTTGTTGCCACCATCATTTTTGGTTACCAAGTTTTTGTAGATAACATTGGTGAGTTTGTCTCAACATTTAAAATTCCCTATACAGTAATCATTTAAACTCTGCCTATTTAACTTAATAAGAGCTCTTTTCTTTTACCTAGATATATAAGTGAGATTACTGATACACTTTGTCGTTTATGAATGTCCCTCGGGGTTACTATGAGGCTCTGATGAGATGTACATAGTTCCACAATTACTTACCTCCAGAAAGAAGTTTATTCAGCTATTAATTAGGATTAGTTAATTATGTTATTCAAGTTTAACAAGAGGAGACTAAGTAGTTTTAAGATCATGTTTTAATAGCTTCTGGCAATTGACTTAGAAATCTTACCAGAATTCAGAATTAATCATTTCCTTTTATACTATATCTTCTCTTATAAGGCAACTCTTATAAGGAAGATTGATATAACCACTTTAAGCATATAAGGAGCCATTTACGCTACTAGATTGTTCAGTAATAGATATAACTCTCTATTGAACAGAAACAATGTATCCTTTTGTCTAATTTTTTTCTGTAAACAATTCACATGGTAATATTGGTTAGCTTGGTTGATTGTAATTTTTTGGCATTACGTTTACAACTGCCATTTTCTATAGATTGCTGATTTCAGCAATCATGACTGTGGTACACCCTGAGATCTGCTTCCTCTATTCCTATGATTATTACAATGAAAATACAGAACTCATCGAGTGAAACACATAGTAACACAATGTGCTAACATAAAGACATTTTATGCTGATATAATTTAGGAACAGCAGTGGAAAGGCAGCAACAGAAAACACAATTTATCAGAATCTTTTCAGCCCTTAAAACTGTGATTTTTAGGGATACAGAGTTATTTATCATAAGATGAATAATAATCTTGAAACATTCTTCTGTCTCCTTTTTTAATGCAATTTTCAACCCCATTCATTTTTTAATTTACAGCAGATACTTGTTATCCCTATTAGTTAATCAAGCCCTCTGTAATCTGATGAGAGTACCTTTTTTTTTTTTTTTTTTGAAGTGCTACTTCAGGGCAAAAGAACTACTCGTATATTATGTGACTGGTGACAAATTGTTATGCTTTGAGCATGGGACTGTGAGAATTACATGATTGTTGAGTGGTTCAGAATATTCTAGGAGGCACAATGTAAAAATTAGCTATAAATAGGGTATGTGATTACGTTAATAGACTATCCAGCCCTTTTCATCACACTAATTCCTAAATCTATAATAGCTGCTACTATACTAGCCTTTCCCTAAAGTATGATTTGCTTTGTTTATATCTTTAATTTTCTTATGACCAAAGTTTTTTCCCCCAATAAAAAAAATCAAATCTCAATGAACTCTGATTTTAGTATCTAGATAATACAGATGTTTTATTGTGTTTTAGATGCAAGCTAACACACCAAATAGATTCCCTTTTAATAATTTCTATACAAATTGTTGTGTAATTTTAGTTTTTCATTAATCTGATTGTTAAAATTATACTTCTGGGCATCATAAAAAATAAAAAGCAAACTAAGGAAGTACTCCAAATTCAGAAAGACTAGAGAGAGGTTGTGATGTACTGTTGAGTTGAGTTCAGCTCATAGTAATGTCATGTAACTGGAACATTGCCCTTATGGCTTTCTAGACTGCAGTCTTTTGTGGGGACCAGATCTCCCATGTTTTAGTGCCACTGGTGTGGAGCATCAACTCAAAATATTTATGTGTCTTTTAAATGACTGAGTGAGTTTGAACCTCCACCCCTTTGGTTAGTAATTTAACCATTGTACCACCAAAACCAAATCAAAATAAACCTGTTGCCGTCAAGGTGATTCTGACTCATAACGTCCCTACAGGACAGAGCAGAACTGCTACCAAAAAATATGCAGGGCTGTAAATCTTTACGGAAGCCGACTGTCACATCTTTCTCCTACAGTATGTGGGTTCAAACCGCTGATCATTCTGGTAAAGCTGAGCACTTTAAGTAATGCACCACCTTGGCTCCGTCAAGAGATACTATAAATAAATAATGCACAATCTTAGATTGCATCTTAAATTGGAAGTTTTTTTGTGTTTTAATATTAAAGGACTGTGATAGTCTGGGTAGACTAGAGAAACAAATTTATATACAAGCGCAGTTGAATATTAAGAAAACAGCCCAGTCCAAATCAAGTCCATAAGTCTGATATTAGCCTATATGTCCGATACCAGTCTCTAATGTCCTTTTCAGACTCATGCAACACATGCAATGATGCCAAATGCTGGAAGATTACAGGCCAGTGGATAGAAAGTCTTGTGGATCCAGTGGCGGTGGAAGTATCTCACACTGCCAGCTCCAGGGCTCTGGTTGCATCAGTGTTGCTCCATGTCTCTTGTCATCAGGAATGTCTTTCTGGGAATGTGTGTCCGCCTCCAGGGAGGAAGACAGGCGTTCCCAGAATCCTCAGGAAAAGGCCATGCCCACACAGAGACCTCATTGGCTATGACCTGATTGACAGGCTAGGCTCCACCCCTTTTCAAGTTGACAGGAGATTATATAACTGCCGCAAGGACAGTAGACAGTACTTGTAAATTTCTTTCAAGTGGTTTTTAATAAATAAAATGTTAATACACAGAGAATGTTAATAATAAATATGGCTAATCTAACTAATGGGTTACACAGGAATTTTCTATATTACGATTGCAAATTTGGTATAAATTTAAAGTTATTTAAAAATAAAAACCAGAGAAAAGGAAACAAAAGTATATTTTACCACATAATATGTGATGTTCTTTACATCAGTGTTCAGTGATTCCATTAAAATTATAAGATATTTAATATCACTATTCCTATTTTAGCTATGTAGAAAACTAAGACATTTTTGAAGGCTAAGTAACCACCAGCATTCATATATTGAGAAAATGACAAATCGACTATTTGGGTTCTATAATCATTAAATCCTCAAACAAAATGTTAATGGGTCTTTTTAAGAGTTCAGGAAAGTGGCCTTTAAAAGTTAATTTTTTTTACCATGCTTCTTCCATTCTTCCACATGTAATTCTTGATATATTCTTTTGTAAATGTAGTAGGCAATCAAAAGGGCCAGATATGTATATTTTTTCAAATGGGAATATAAAATTTTCTGTACTCCCACATAGATGCATATATATATATTTATATATATTAATCTGTATAAATTTTGTAAGTCTTTAGTTTCTATATTGAATGACCTTGTGAAATAGACTAAGTAACAAGACTTCTTTATTAAAGATATGGGGAACTATTCCATAATTTAAAAATAACAGCTCCTAATTCACTTTAGTGTATATATAAGATACATTTGATAAATGTATAGTAATTTCTGGATTTGGTTTTTGACAGGTGGTTTTGGAATGTATGCTTAAAAAGGACCTCATTTACAATAAGGTCACTCCAACATTTCACCACTGGAAGATAGATGATAAAAAGTTTGGCCTTACCTTTCAAAGTCCTGCTGATGCTAGAGCTTTTGACAGAGGTATTCGAAGAGCGATAGAGGATATTTCCCAAGGTAAGTCTTCCTGACTTTTCCCCTAATTTATCAGTTAGGCAGAGTACAGGCCATCTCCCTAAAAGTTGACTCAAACCCATGAGCTCACTCTGGGTAAAGATAAAATAGTATACACCTTAGCCTCTTTTGTATTTGTTAACTCCCCTCCCCCTCCCGCCCCCAAATGCATGTATTACCTTCGAAAATCTCATCAATAGCAGCCTTCAGAATAAGGAAAGTATATTAAAATAAAAGTCTGAAGAAACGAATCACCTTTATGATAGATGAAATCATACAAGGAAAGGAGGACAGAGCAGAGAGCATTCACAAATCCTAACATGGTGGGGCGTGTGTGTGTGTGTGTGTGTGTGTGTGTGTGTGATATTTTATCAGCCACACCCTCGTTTTAGTAGAGCGAATCTTTAATACCCAGATATATATAAACTTTTAAACATAAAAGTTTTAAACATAAAGCATGTTCTCACCCAAGATTGGAAACACTGCTTCCCAAAAGGAAGAAATAACTAAAATTTGATTTGTTTTTCTAATTAAGGGAAAGAAATGACTTCTCAGCTCAAGTGTAACTAAGGAAAAGATCTATAATAATGTAAATGACCTTCTATCAGAGGAGGCTTCAAAAAGTTCATGGAAATATATTAAAAGATAATGAATTTTTCCACGAGCTATTTGATGACCCTTTATATGAAATAATGGCATCACAGTGTACTAGACTGCATTGTGATTTATGTATTTTGAAGATGGCATTTCAATTCAAAAATTTGTTGACATGAAATAATTATTAGTGCAACCTTGGGTGAGAACATGGAACTGCTTAGTACTATCAGTGTTTTGTTAGGACATGAAAGTCTGATTAAATTTTTTATTTATTAACTTTAAAGGGTTGGGATTTGAGTATTGAATGGGGTATTGTTTAATTTTTATTACAGAAATCTGTAAAGTCTCTGTAGATGAATATTTCTCAACCGTGGCTACATGTTTGAATTACCCGGAGAGCTTTAGAAAAACATAGACTAACTGGTTTCCACTCAATTCCAATCGAATCTAACAATCTAGACTCTAGGGCAGCGGTGGGTCACAACCCCTGGGGGTCGAATGACCCTTTCACACGGGTCACCAGATTCATAACAGCAAAATTACAGTTATGAAGTAGCAACTCTATGGTTGGGGGTCACCACAGCATGAGAAACTATTAAAGGGTCACAGCATTAGGAAAGTTGAGAACCATTACTCTAGAGAATAGAGTTGAGTTATCTCATATTTTAAAAGCGCCACCAAATAATTAAAATGTGATAAAGAATCACTGTCCTAGCTAGGTAATGCTAATTTCCATTAAAAAGTGGGGAGGAATGAATTATAGATCCTAAGATTCTTTAGATCCTCAAACCTGGCTGCAAGTTAGGATCACTTGGGAAACTTAATTTTTTAAAAGTCTTAGATTTTACACAGATTTTTTTAACACCTTTGATTGAGTATCATAAGCCATCATTTGTATGTTTTCTACTAGCTCTCCATTTGATTCCAATCTTTAGTTAAGTTTGAAAAACCAGAGCTTTAAAGTGAAAATCATTAATTCATGCCTGCTGAATTTTATATTTCACTGAAGTTTCTAATTACTTTTAAGTACATACTCAAGTTCCCATTAATAGTCCACTTTTCCAAATAGATTGGCTACAGGGTTGTAAAAAGTGACTTCTGAGAGGAAGTTTACACATTCCTAGTCAGGTAGAGCAGCTGACAACTCTCAGTGACCGTCTCCTTATTTTTTAAAAATTATCAGCTGTTAAGCAACCTTTAATAGGCCATTACTTTTTCTTATATAGCTGTCCATGCAAATCAGAATAAACCTTTCCAGAAGGCAAATTTCTTATAACTATGCTATATTTTCTCTGTGTCTAGGGGTAACATAAACTCAGGACACATTGTCTAAGGCAAGAGTCTCCTTATTAATGTGTTAAAACAAACAGCACTCTTGTGTACCAAGAAAAACTACAGTGAGATATTGCTTCACAGAGCTGAGTTATTAATAATTGGTCAGCAACTATTAATAGTCAACTAAAGTTCATTTGCTTTCTGCATTGAAGCAACCAAACTCTATATACTGTTTCCAGAATCAGAACAATCAGAAAAACTGAATAAATTATATGAGGGCATCTGGAGTACTTGGGTGGTACTAATTGTTGTGCACACTTTGCTGCTAACTCAAAGATTGGAGATTTGCATCCACTCAGAAGCACTTTGGAAGAAAGGTCCAGCAATCTTCTTTGGGAAAATCACCCATTGAAAGCCCTGTAGGGTACAATTCTACTGCAACACACAGGGGGTCGCTGTGAGTCACTTGACTCAATGGCTGCTCATTTTTCAAACTGAAGTATCTCCTTAACACCTGAAGAATGTGGTGTCTAGTAGTTTTCACAGAAATTTCTAAGAAATCTGGAGCAGGCTTGCTAGAGATGGTACATTTTCAGAGAAAAATCTTTGTTCTACTTTTTTATCATAGGGGCAAGTGTGAGTGGTCAACAGATAGAGATTGAGGCAGCCAGTATTCAAATGGTGTCATCAATAAGGCAAAGAGTTCGTGCTTAATTGTCTTTTCCCTGTTCTGTTAGGATGCCCAGTATCACAAACTGAAGCGGAAGGACCTGAAGATGACTTACAAGTAAGCAGTTGGTCTTGAAAAATAATTTCTCCATGTAACACACATGAAGAATATAGGTGAAACTTTTATCCTATAAGTAAATAATGCATATAAATTATTTTGTTAATCACTAAGACAATCCTACCTATCCCCTACCCTCCAAAAAAAATAGAATATCTGTATAAACTATTTACAGGATGGTAATTACACATGGTCAATAAGCATATGGTTGCATACACCGTATTTTATCTCACTATTAACCAGTAGTACAGATTACTGCAGGTTAATGCTTTTCCATTACCAACATTTTTTTAAATGCTATATTACACTCCTTCATGCTGTATCTTTAGTTGATAACGGATCCCTTGTTAAAGAAAGTATAGATGGTGCTGTTTTTCTGGAAGACAATTTGGTAGGATATATTTAAAACTCTTAAAAATTGAAACTTTCATGTCTGTTGGTCTAATGGTTCCATTTCTAATAAGCTGTAGTAAGGACATTGAGATGTACAAAATTTATATGTAGAGATATAATATCTGTGTGTATATGTTGTATGCAATCAATTGGTTCCAACTCATCGAAAGTCTGTCTGTACAGGAGCAAATAGTCTCCCTCAAAGTGGCTGATGCATTGGAACAGCTGACCTATTGCTTACTGGACAGTTTTCACTAGAGCTTCTTGTGTATACACGTACACACACACACACACACACACACACGTATTTGTAAAACACTCTTAATAAGTTAACTATCTCCACTAGCACTAGAATAGTTTAATAAATTATCTTTTAGACATACAGTCACTAGAATTTTTATTGCTTATGAACCTGCTTACAGGATATTGAGCAATAAAAACAAAAGGTATATTGCACTGTTCTCATGACTCAGCTAAAATGTTAAAATTTTTATTGCAGCTTTACAATTGTTAGTTCTGAACATCTTTAAAAAAAATTCTTATGTGTCTTTTAAGGCTTTCTTTCCCCCCCTCAATATTCATACACATACTTTGTGTTAAACATTTGGTATTCATACTAACAAAAGTAGTTGTGATCTAAAGAAATAGCAATATTTTTGTTCCCATATTTAAATATTTTCATTATCAGAAAATAAATTCATTTTTTAAAATTTGAAGGCAAGTTTACAGAAAAGCCATGAACATAATGCCATCCATTATAACCATTATTATTTTAGGTATTTTTTCAACTTTTTCAGTTTTTAACATTTCAGTTCTATTCTTATTTTGCAAGCATATAAGCCTAATAACTATCAACCCTATCGTGTTTTTACAAGTTCTGATATGTGTATATGAATGCATTTCATTCATTGATGCTTAATTATTTGTTTTCCAAGGTTTTGTTTTATTTTCTTGTCAATCTAAACATAGGACTGGGATTAGGGCAAACATTTTCTGAATTGTTCTTCGGTGAAAATAAATGCTTTTAAAAAATAACATTTTCACATACTGATATGATGCGCCTTTCATAATAGTTATATTTAATACACTTCTGTTTAGTTTTACCTAATTTCTATATAGAAAATTCTGTTTTCATAAACTTGTATGGTACCCAATATATCACAAGACTTTGCATGTAGCATTCAGTAAAAGCTATGGTTCATTTTCGTAATTGTGTTCACTGCCGGTATCACATGGAGCTTTGGTACAATATACAGAATAGGGAAGATATGAATGGAAAGTAATAATTTTATCACAGAGTCAGACAAAAATAGTACAAGAGGGGAGAGCAGAGGCTAGTAAAAACGGTTCATGTAGAAGAAAGGCTAGAGCAGTCGTTCTCTTGGTGGTAATGCATCTCCTCTGCTCTCAGTCCATCAGGTTACAAGGTTATACACATTAAGTACATACCTAAAGAAACTATATTTTACCTTCCTTGGGCACTAAAGCACTTGCTTGGTTTTTATTCTCACACACATGCACACACAAAATAGTAAATATGTAATGTCATTACAGGCCTTAGTATTAATTAGGCTTTCCTTTAAGTCAGCAGTTCTCAACCTGTGGGTCGTGACCCCTTTGGGGGTTAAACAATCCTTTCACAGGGGTCACCCGATTCATAATAGTAGCAAAATTACAGTTATGAAGTAGCAACAAAAATATTTTTATGGTTGGGGGTCACCACCACATAAGGAACTGTATTAAAGGGTCATGGCATTAGGAAGGTTGAGAACCACTGCTTTTTTTTTTTAATTGGGGGCTCATACAGTGCTTATCACAATCCATACATACATCAATTGTGTAAAGCACATTTGTACATTCGTTACCGTCGTCATTCTCAAAACACCTGTTCTCCACGTAAGCCCCTGATATCAGCTCCTCATTTTTTCCCACTCCCTCCCCGCTTCCCCCTCCCTCATGAACCCTTGATAATTTATAAATTATTATTTTGTCATATCTTACAATGACCGACATCTCCCATCATCCACTTTTCTGTTGCCCGTCCCCCCAGGAAGGAGTTTATATGTAGATCCCTGTAATCGGTTCCCCCTCTCTCCCCTACACTCCCGGTATCGCCACTCACACCACTGGTCCTGAAGGGATCATCCGCCCTGGATTCTGTGTTTCCAGTTCCTATCTGTACCAGTGTACATCCTCTGGTCTAGCCAGATTTGTAAGGTAGAATTGGGATCATGATAGTGGCGGAGAGGGGAGGAAGCATTTAGGAACTACAGGAAAGTTGTATGTTTCATTGTTGCTATACTGCACCCTGACTGGCTCCTCTCCTCCCCGAGACCCTTCCGTAAGGGGATGTCCAGTTGCCTACAGATGGGATTTGGGTGCCTACTCCGCACTCCCCCTCATTCACAATGATACGATTTTTTGAGAATCACTGCTTTAAGTATAATTGAAATTGAAGACAATTTTTATACTAAGTTTAACCCTTGGTTTTGTTTTGTTTTTTAACCAAGAAAAAGTTTTCATGCCAATAGAAACAGGTTTTCATGCCTTTTTATAAATACTGTTTATTTTAGTGGAGTCTAATTCTTATCCTTTGGGTTGCGCTGTACTTAGGGAGTTATTTCTTACTAAAGAGAATGTGATGGAGTGTGGTGGGTTCTGAGGATACTTCCGTTTGCCTCTCTTTCATGGGTCACTTACTGTAAAGGATGCCAGCTGCTATGACATGTGGACACTTTTGGAATCCAGGAGAGCGTTTGTGTCACAAGATGAGCTGAAGTCCTCTCACAATAGTCACCTAGTAAACTGCCCCAGAATCATTTTATCTTATTTTTACCACTTCCTTTACAGCTGGAAGTACGTTCACAGTAAAGAAATCTTCTTTACTAGTTTAAAAAAAATTCTGAACCCAATTATTTAATATAATTACCTGAGTTACAAGAGAAGAGGAAACTACTGAGGTGTTAGCTAATATGTGAGATAGTTTTTTCTGAACATCCTATTTTAAATATTTTGTAAGGAATCAATCTCAAAATTATAATTGCCCAAGAAAACTCTTAAATTTACCTTCCCATAGTCCCATGGAGGACCCCTGTTGGCCTAGTGGTTACATATTGGCTGTTAACATCAAGGTCAGCAGTTCAAACCACCATCAGCTCCGAGGGAGGCAGATTGGGCTCGCTACTCCTATAAACAGTTAAGCTTCCTGTCCTATAGGGTCACTATGAGTTGGCATTGATTCTGACACTTAGTAAAATTTCCACGGCTGTAAATTTTACAGCGTTGATAGTCTCATCATTCTCCCATAGAGCGACTGGTGACTTTGAACCTCTGACTTTCCAGTTAGCAACCCAATGCTTAACTTAGTGCCACCTTTATAGCATGTTTTTCTTCACAAGATGCCATTGTTCTAGAGGTTAGTTCATTTTTTAATATACTAGATGACACAAAGTAATCTTAATTTTTTAACCACTTGTAATAAAGTACGTTATGCCATAATTTCCCTTAGGAGTTTCATCCAAGCACTTTGAGATTATTTTGTATATAGGTTGATTGTGAATTAATGTAGTGGCTATACTAGGTATATGATAATGGTCATTATGTGCAATGACAAAACGATTTTTTAAAATAACCCATTTATTATTTTTTAACTCAAGAAGTAATGGTTTTACTTATTTAAATCATAAACATCTTTAATCCAATAAATATCAGATTGGAAATGCTTTCCATTTTGAGTATTCATTCATTCATTCATTCAATAAATATTTAAGTGCCTAGTCTGTGCCAATGAGAGTGTGAGCCATTTGCTTGCTTGCTGATGGGTCACTCTGTCTTCAGCACTTTGAGGTTTTCTTGGGTAGAACTAAACAAGGAGGTCTGCCTTTGGAGTATTTCATAGCACCACATTTCCATTTAGCATCCTGTCTTGCTTTTCTTTATATTTCTGTACATTGCTAATACATATATCATAGTTGATAAGAAAGGTTTTATCAAAAGTTGATTTAAAATCTGAATATTTATTTAACCTAACATTTAATAAAACAAGAATATTTAAGATTTTTGCTTCCTCTATTTTAATGAGCCAATTAGTAGTTGTTTGATTTTTAATGCTAGGCTATGTTTATTCTAAAATAATTTTTCCAGTGTTTTCTAGTTA